ATATTGCTAAACATCAACAATGCCAAACTTTATATGTATGCATCAAAATGATCCAAACAGTAGTACGGTCCAACTACAGTTGAATTATATTCAACTTTCTCTTCTGATTTGACTTATGAATTTTTAATTGAACTCAATCCAATAGGGAAACATTCAGTCGTGGCTTTGTGGTTTGATACTATGGTCACATATAAAAATCCAAGATTTATTTGACATTATTGAATTTTTTCTGCTTGTTGAGTTCCCCACATTGTGATTGAGAGGATCTTCAGAGCAATTCAGTTAAATATGAGAGCAAAATATCAAAGAAAAAATTCATCGGTGTTTTTTCCTGAAAAACTTGATTCTATTCCTCGAGTATACTGTTAAAAAGAGCACAAAACACTTTGCTACATTACTTACAGTGAACTTCAACATCAAAGTAAAATAACTCTTGAAAATCAATTAAGAATTTGATAAAACTTGCGTGGAAACCTCAATTTATAATTTAACACATTTTCTGTTTTATGATTTCCCAATTGCAGCTGGCCTACTCCCGAATAGTGAATATAAAATATGGACCACCTCTCGCTTTTTCCTTGAGGTTACCTGGATTTCTCTTGTTAGTGGTTTGTTTTTTGTTCATTGCGATACAAGCCCCAAGGTATTTACTCTCCAATTGTTTCTGAAACAATTGCCTCGTTTTCTATTTTTACATTGATTCATTTCTTTTAGTAGACTGTCAAATTGAAGTTTTTGTACATTTTTCTCATGATTATAAAATGCATTCCTGTGTTTTGAATTCAATGTGATGAAAGAAAATGTGATGATCTAGTCATGTGTTTTCAACAAAACAATTGCCTGCTTTTCAATCAGATGCAAACAGTGTAATTAGTCATCAAGAAATAATCTCTAGAATTGTCAACTATATTATATAATGATTTCGAAGTTGTGTAAGTCTAAGGTTTAATTGCAGTTAAACCTTTGGTACCTCTAAAAAGTGTTCCACTTGGGAGGTGCTCCAATTATAGAGGTTCATTTAACATTAAGTCAGTTGGTCTTGGGAATGTTCAACAAACAGAGGTGTTCCACTAACAGAGGTGTTCCACTAACAGGGGTGTTCCATTTCTTGAGGTGTTCCACTTGACAGGTGTCACTATATTGCCATTTTGCTGTTCCCTTATCAACCTCAAACCTCCCATTTGGTTAAATACCTTGGTTCTTCACTAGAGAAATTACCCTGTCCCAATTGCATTAAGTACATAACCCTCTGACAAGGAATGAAGATTTTACACTTACAGTTCAAGCACCAATCAGAGCACTAATATGTTACTTGACATTGTATAATGGTCTTTGAAATGAGAAGATTTATATACAATATTAAAATGTATATATGGAGAGGATTTCCACTCTTACAATGGGTATGTCTAGTGAAGACTGTCAATCTGAATCGATATCATATTACTATTACAAAATATAAGCAGCGCAACATATGGCATACCCTTTGCATTCGTTTGACTTCACTTCTTAAATGAGAGCTTCGTCTTCACTCTTTCAAACTAAAATAAACCTGTGAACTCACCGCGCCAATCGGTGTTCGTCGGCCAAATTTGACCGACGTTCTATATATGGTCATTCCTTCTGACGTCATCATTGAGCCAGGAATTGACCAATGACATGCGCATATTTAATTAGAACGCATTTGGCGTATGTTTCTTCAAGCTTCCTGAATGGTAGAAGAAAGGTCAGCGCGTAGGTCAAAAGTGATTTATTACCCAAAACTGTCACTGGTACCCATCGTGGGGGTAGGGCTACTAAACTGTAAGATGGTCTCTACTAGGCAGAGTGTAGTTTAACTAGACTCTGCACGCAGGGTACATATGGCATAATGTTATCGTACTTGTAGGAACACTTGACAATTTTTGAAATAAAAGTAAAAAATGTTTGAAAAAATGTCCCTGGATTGTTTGTTTATTTTTTTAAACATGGAGGCAATTAACATTTATTACTCTTGAATAACACAACCAAAAACGCATATAGCCATAATCTCAAATTATTCCCACACATTGCTATAAATACATGCTCCTTGACACAGATTCTGTTCTGTAGAAAAAGTGATTTTCAAAAATGTTTGATCTTCACTGATAGAGTCAATTTGTTAATAAGACTTAACATAAATTGATTTTTCTTATTAAAAACCAATTCAACATTAATGTGAATTAATAAAAATGCAAGATGCCGTGTTATTATACATGTTACAATTCATATTCAAAAGATGAGAAAACATGTATAATTCAAACCTCATCAATCATATGTTTGTTATTTTCAGGATTATTATTATGTCTATATGAGTTCATCAATGGAATCAAACATGAGGCATGCTTCAGAGCCTTCATTGAGGTTTTACCGCTCATTCATGACAAATCTTGACTCAAAGTGGTCACAGTTGATTGAATTCCACACTTCATTGAATGCATTTCCCTAAATCCCATTGATACTTTGTACGCACATTGCATGCTAACTGTGACCTTCCTAACGTGCATTTCATTTGTTCACATTAATCAAATGATCAACTTGGTGAAAACCCTCAACCAAGAAAGAAAGCAAAAACTGTGATTATTTCACCTTTGATACAAAAGACACTTGTTTGCAGGTCAATTTGTAACTATCAAATTAGTTAAATTAAGAAATTAATTGCTGAAATTAATTAATGAAATTGAATATGCTGTATCTATAAATTATTTCCAGTTTTACCCCACATGGCATATTTTCCGTCTCATTTGACATGGAACTGCATGGTCAAACAATGCATATTGTATTACTACAGATTAAAAGCCCAATATGTCAGCTCCAAAGAGCTTAGAAATTGAGATTTGGACTTTCGTTAAAAACCCTCAAGTGTCTTAATTTCTCTTAGTAGATGGGTTAACTACATTTGGACTTCATTGTATGATGCAAATGTCCCATTTGGCATGGAAGTACCTTAGAGCAATATAAATAAATTAATCCAAAGACACAGGCTAGATGGCGCTTTATATTGGAAATATACACATTTTTCAAAATGGCCGCCAAAAATACATCAGAGACAATATCTTTGCTTCTGTGCATGCTTCAATTATAAGATTGGTGTCAAAAAATACAGCGATGTAGTCGTAGAATCTATTTTATTAGATCTTGAGTCTTGAAAATTAAGAACTTCCACTTTATATTAAAAAAATTCACGTTTTTCAAAATGACTGCCAGAAATATAACAAAGAAAATTCTTACCTTACGAATACTTACAAATTAAGATATCTTACCTTACAAAATGTCCCCTCTGGCATGGAAATACCTTAGGGCAATAGAAACAAATTTATCCAAAGACACAAGCTAGATGGCGCTTGATATATACACATTTTTCAAAATGGCCGCCAAAAAATACATCAGAGATAATAGTTTGACTTCTGTGCATGCTACAATTATAAGAGTGGTGTCAAAAAATACATTAATGTAGTTGGAGAATCTATTTAATTAGGTTTCGAGTCTTGTAAATTCAGCACTTGCACTTTATATTCAAAATATATGCATTTTTCAAAATGGCTGCCAGAAATATAACAAAGAAGATATCTTCTCTTCTAATGGCCTAGTCACATAGCCCGGCCGATGAGGTTACGATGAGCCAGCGATGCAATTTTCACCGAACTCGGCCGAACACCGGCCGGACATCCGTGGCATTTGTTGCTTAAAACCGCATCGGTGGTAGCTCAGTGAAATTTTAACTTCGGAGTTAAATTTCACCGGGCTCTCACCGAGCTCCCTCATCATGTCATCGCAGCCCCATCGTAACCACATCGGAAAACACGTCGGCCGGTGCACAACCGAGTATCGGCCGGTGTCCCGTGCATCTGAGACAACCAGAGGACGAGGTTATTTAACGGACAGCGGCCGAGCTCCGACCGAGCTCCAGCCGATGTGGGACAGAGCATCGGCCGGTCACTGTTCAAAGCCCGTTAACAACCCGGCCGGCGATCGCACGGTGTCCTGTTACCTGCTCGGGTACCGGCCGTATTCCTTCCGATGTCCGGCCGACCTCCGGCCGGTAGTTGCTGCCACATCGGCAGAAAAAAACTACCATTTTGAGACAGACTCCGTCCGGTCACCGGCCGGTGTTCGGTCGGTCGCCTGAAGATGTCCGGACGGAGTCCGTTCACGTCACCGAGCTCTGCTTCCGATTGAGGAGAGCTCGGTGGCACCAAAAAAATCCACCGAGCTCTACCGATGCCGGACATCGGCCGGGCTATGTGACTAGGCCATAAGCATGCTACAGTGTTAAGAGTGGTGTCAATCTACATTTTTCGGAATGTAAAATCTATTTAATTAGTCAGATGCAAGTAGGTAGTTACCATTTTCCCCACCAGGTTGTTAATTCGGGTGAAATAACATTGCAGGGTATTATAAAGTTCCCTTAAACTTGAATATTCTTAATTTTTAGTGGTTCACATTTCATATTACTCTTGTATCTGATAGTTGTACAAATTAAAATATCTCCAGTAAAAGAAAATATTATCTGCACAACACAAGAAAAGCTATTTCACTTTTTTGTGTTTAACAACATGGCGACTATGTGGAATTTCCCTGACCTAAATGTCTCATTTTCGAAAAAAATTCAATATTAAAGTTGATTGACCCAAAACCACATTTCTTGATGTATTTTTTCATGACGATTCCAAATTCAACATCAGTTAGACTGAATTTTGAATTTTTAATGACAAAAATAAAGATTGTTACTACTCGCATCTAGCTAATTGGATTGTGAGCCTTAAAAATAATCGTTTTCGCCTTAACACAGCGAATGTATATTTATCTTTCAATGTTCTTTTTACTCAAATTCACCAGAAAGACCAGAGTCTCTTTAATAACTTGCAATAAACATGCATCTGCAATGGTAGTGCAATGCAACATATAAGAGAGAAATGTGTTAGATAGAAACCACGCAGGACAGACATATATACGTACATATGTAGTTAGAAAGGGCCAGAAACCTCCTGGCGAGAGAAAATCTTGAAGATCAGAATAGATTTCAAGGGCTGCATATTATGACAGTATTGCAGAACCCTCATCATCTCCTCTGACCAAATCATGGACGATGTCTCTGTTTACCGAGTCTTCCATTAATCCAACCAATATACTATATTAAGCTTGTTGTTGATTGGCAACCATTTTGAAAAAGACATGTATGTATACATATACAGCACTGAATATTGTTATATTGAGAAAAATATTCTTATTTTCTCATTTGAACATTTAAGAGATTAAGATTTTAAACGGCAATATGTCTATCACCACGAGTACTTCCTGGCCATAAATACAGAGTTTATTATTAAAACAATGTGTTTTATTTCAAGTGAAGTCCCCATGATTGTAAAATATGAATCCAACTTTCTGGAAAATTATGGATTAGCATCCCACCTTGGCACTTTTTTAAAATGTTAAGCTTATTTTGTAAAAAGATGATCTTGTTTTTCTCAATTAAAACATATCAAACGTTTCTTCACTTTAAATCAACAATTACTTAAAAGGGGATTGGATTTTAAATGCGCTGAAGTTGAAAACCACATTTACCATGCTATCCATTGTATTCAGCATAGTTTCCATAACATTTTGTTCATCCCCCAATCATTGCAAATTGATATTCAAAACTACACTTTCAAACTATTCTACTTTTCGAGAAGTTAAGGAGCCCTTGTTAATGTAGATATACTTTTTTGTAATATTTTCCACAGCCATTGAGAAAAAGGCACACATTTTCAATAAAAAGTGAAAATGTTTGTTAATTAATAGACATACATTACAATAACAGAATTTCCGCTGATTTAAACATTTTGGTGACCATTTAGTCAATGCTAAAAATCATATTTAGACAATAAAAAATTTGAGATCTAACTTAATATAATATATAACCATACCTTGATGACATATCTATTAAGTAATAACTAATCAAACCCTTCTCTGGGACATCTTGAATTTTCTGAGGCATTAATTATAAGATTAACACCATCTTCAATTTAATTGAGTACATATGGCCATACTTTGAAGGAATCTGAAAATTAATGCAAAATCATACATAAGACAGACGATGGACTGACAGACTGACGGACGGATGGCCTCACTTTATCCCCACTGAACTTTCTTCTTTGGGAAAATAAAGACTATAAACCTTATCAAATGGATTCTACCACCCATTTTGAAAAAGGCATGATTTTTTAATATAAAGAGCAAGTTCCTAATTTTCAAGACTCAAATCCCATACTAAATTGATTCTTCACCCACAAAATGTATATTTAGGCATCAATCATATCATTATAGTATGCATAGAAGAAAATATATTGTCTACGTTGTATTTTTGGTGGCCATTTTGAAAAATGTGAATATTTCCAATATTAAGCGACATCTGGCGTGTGTCTTTGGATAAATTTTTTTCTATGGTCCTAAGGTACTCTCATGCCAAAGGAAACGTTTGCATCATAGATTGAAGTCCAGACCCCCTAAAATGCAGTTAACCCATCTACTATCTAGCCACAGTCTAATTAAGTCATAATTGTTTTATGGTTTGTTTATGATTCTTACATAAATTAGGTCACATTCATTGAAACAAACACCCTAAAAAGTCTGATGATTGGAGTTGTAAATGATTGAAAGCACAGATGATCTAGTTCTTTTTAATCGTATTGAAAGGGACATTTAGTTGTTTCAGATCATGCAAAAAAAGATTGCACTTTCAATTCAATGAATGTACCTTTAATGTCCGTGATGTCACATAAAGACAACTATTTCACAAAATCCGTGAGGAACATACTGAACATTAACAAGGCATTAACATCCAAAATCTCTCCAACTGCAATTTGGTACAGATGCCGAATGATGTTACAGATGGCAAACACCAACCACCAAACACCATCCACAAAAAAAGATGGAGACAATAATAACAATATGTACCCACTTGTGGAGGTGACATAGAAAACCGTTGGCATATTCTAATGCAACCCCCCCCCACCCCATTCCCTCATCACATGTCTGGTGAGATGTGCTCAATGGCTTGATAGACTTAACATTGGATAGTCTGTCATCAAGTCTTTGAATCAATCCCCTTATCCACTTTACCTCCAGGTGAGGTATGTAGGAGGGGGAGAAGTCACATTACATGGAGTTGATACAAGACTAACATTGGCAAAAGGAATTTTGTTCAGATAGCATTCTTTTCCTTTCTGATAGCACAACTTGTCAAGTTTACAATCAAGTCTTTCATTAACAGCACAAGTCTATTAATTATCAGCATCAAGTCAAATCTGAATATCATTGTCATGGGATACCACATCCTGGTGTTGGTCAGATATTGCATTTATTAACCCAGATTTCAATATTTTTTACAAATTGTGGTTTCTTAAAATTCCATATGAAAATCTTCTCAAATTTCCATCACCTAGCCACTCTATCCTCGAAGTATTACACATTCTTTTATAGTTTTGATTCCAAAACTGTTTTTACAGTCTCAAAAGTAGCCACCATGGACTTTGGTATGGAACTTTGAATGTGAATAATGTTGGCTAATTATTGGTAGAAAAATACAATATTTTCTAAATATTTTCCAAAAAACAAAAACCTTGATTAGAAAACATTCAATGTAGTTAGGGCAAAAAACCGAGTCTTTGTGTGAAATTCAAACTTTTTTGAACAACAGACACAGAAGCAAAGAATCATAATTCATAACATTTTTAATTTCATCTCTTGAATACCAGCCTCTAAAAAGGGTTTGAAACAAGAGCATTTTTTCATTTTTTGACATTTTTCGATATTTACTATCTAAATACACAATATTTGATGTCTGGTTTCATAAGATTAGTAATCATACAGCCATTACATACATTTTAAAACATTATTTGTGTATATTTTATAAAAATTGTCAAATAATCAATTAAAAGTGACTCAAACACCTCTAAACAATATAATAGAAAACAAAATGAAGCAATAACTACAATGTACACTTGTATTCTAAACGTATGAGATATAAAAAAGTCTTGTATCAAGCCCCTTTTTGATATTTTGAAATCAAACTAGAGGTCTCTAATATAGAAATCAGTTGATTACCTGTATATCTGATGATGCTTTATATCCTTGTGACAATGCCGTATCACCTGTAATCACAGCTGATAATAAACAGGTAAGCCAGGTAGCAGACAGGCTGTCAACAGCATTGGTTCCAACCCAGAGATAACTTCAATTCACTTTCACTGGTGGAGAGTTCCGTTGATATCAATTCACTTTTTAATCACTGGTCGGGAGCTTATCTGTCTGTAACATACAAAAAATAAATGACACTCGGGTAAGACTGGGAAAGATGCTTTATGTTGGCATGTGTTCAATGAAGTAAAACACAAATTATAGTGATATTGTTTGCTTGACTAGAAACATTACGCTGACTCTAATTACATGTTAGTCTGTTATTTGTTTAAGTGCTTTGTTTAATATGTCGTGTTATTTGAAATGTTTGATTGTTTGAATTGCTCGTTCTTGTTTTGAATGCCACATTGCAAAAACCACAAGCAAATATCTTAATGTCAGGAACAATTCAACATTGCAAAATTATCATTACATCCTTCTGATTTTTTGACAAAGGAAATGTAATGCATTGTAGTACACGGTTAATCTCTTATAATGCCGAACTGAAACATTGTTTTAACATTTTTCAGAATTCTTTTCACATCTCCTTGCTCCGTGCCAGTGATATACAAAATAACACAAGTGTATAATTGATTTAGAATGCACCCAACACCTTTGCATTTTCTATAAAATTAATAAAAAAAATACAGTTTACACATTATCTTATAATGCTTACATTTTTTAAATACTCATCAAAGAGTGACATTTTTCATAATAAAACCTCCTCACATGCAATTTTCACAGTAGGAATTCTCATCTTTTAAAAGAAAGAACATTTTTCTGTTAAATAAGATAATCTGATGTGAACACACGCACAAGCTTAGTATACATAATCTCATATAAATATATGCAAAATGACAAAAAATATTGTAATCCTTAGGAGATTTGTGAATTCAACATCTGACCATTCAAAAAAACAATAACAAAAATGAGGGTGTTATTAGTTAATCGAGAATCAGCAGGAATTTTTAATGATTTTAATGAGGCAAATGATGCAGGAATTAATAGTAATCAATTAAAATGTCCATCATGCAAAGCTGATGATTATCAGATATGTCGTGTCAAGTTTTTTCTCCAATATTACCAGATATAAAAATTCTTTGTATTTTGAAATAATAATCCTCATAAGAATGCCTCTCAGACTAAAATAGCTTATGGCCCGATGTCTATATTTTACATGTAGATGGTTTAAAAGCTTAACAAAGAGCTTAAATGAATCCTACTCTCTGAATAAACAAAAATAATACACAATCATGCATACTCTTGTCTAGATTCCACAAAACAATGATTACTTCTTTCGACTGCCAAGTAATCTATTGATTTCATATATCATTACGTTCCCCACAGGGCACAGAAGTATTGAGTGAACATAGCCAATGGAATAGATTCTAGAGATAAATAATGTCCAAGCTTTCACTTCATCATTTTATGAGTTTCTCATTAATCAACATTGAACATATGAAGCATGTGGAGAATATCACTGATTAGATTTCTCAGCTTTATTATATTTCATCACATATACTTGTTGTTCATAATTCAAAGATTACCATGGAGATCAGGGAAATAATGCATCTGAACATCTATATGATCTTTTGAACAAATAGAATTTTTACATTCATCATTTTGAAAAAATATTACCATTTCTGAAATTTAAATAAAGGTAGTGTGTATATTATTTTATATTTAAATGTTCACTACGTAATTATGTCACATAATCAAGCAAAAAATCAAGTGTCATTGACTTTGTTTTTTACTTAAGCTAGAAAACATTTTGGTCACCCTTGTTGGGGTATAGTAGAGTAAGGGATTAAGAGGGCATTATCTCCATAATTATGTTAATGACATAATAATGTTGGTTTGGTTTTCTACTCATCAGATAGTAAAATAATAATTAATTTCAGAACAATAAAATCTGTGAAAAAATGATGATTTACAATTAGATTTCGAAACCAATCAGAAACTATTTGAAAAATGGAGGAAATATGAATTAATGGGACAAACATCAAGCTGCTGGGCAGCTGCTACATCAAACCTGCCCCAGGGACAAGATCCACCCCAAGCCCACCCCCATAATTACACACCCATAAAATAACAGACTTCCTAAAATAGAGAGGACCAACACTGAACCTTTCTTGTCACAACCATATGCATGCCATCAATTAAACCTCAACTTGTTATACCAAGACCATCTAATCAAAAGACGATAAATTGAAAACTATTCAAATTCCAATACTCCAAGTCTCTAAGAATTGTTGCTAATTTCACTTGATTTATACTTTCTATCCCTGGGCTACGACATTGTTGAAATCATAATGACCACCTTTCCAAATTGTTAGTGATAGATCATTGGTAAATATATCAGATCCAACACAAAGTCCACATACGTTTGTTGAAGGAGTCTAATACATGTATAAACTTTAATGAGTGCCGATTTAGGTCTTGTTTTTGTCAATAATCAAAACTATAGGCTCAATGACCAGTCAAAATGGAGATTACGTAGCTTGAGGTGCCAACAATAGTGTCTATTTTTGTCTAACATTATCCCTGCATTATTTAACTCATCATTCTAGTTCCGATATGATCTACCATAATTTGGCCATTGTATGTTCTGCATTCTGTATGGAGTAAGGTAACCCTTATGCACTCAGTTGAAAATATTAATTCAACTTCAATATTCTGAAACAATTTAGCTATAATTGGTTAAGATCTATTGTATATATTTGTGAATGAGTTAAAACGAGGAATATTTAATCATTCCAATATCTTAATGAATATGAATTGATCCATACAAATTCTATTAACTTATTGATACAGACTGACTGACTTTATTCCAACACCCTTATTGCAATCAATTACATATACGAACATGGACTTATGATTAGTTTCTCTTGGAATATAGTCCATAATTATTACATAATGGAATCACTGAGGACCTAGTCAATACTAGATAACGGCAACTCCGCGGAGTAGCAAATCCCAACGAACAAAATATCAATTACCGAATTCCAATCAATTATACTCATTACTTTGGTTAAAATTGAAAAATTTAGATTTTAGAATCGCGAATTCCTGCAAAGCAGCCATTTTGAATTTTCTGAGGTTCAAATCTGAAAAATAATACCATAATTGTGATCTACTCCAAAATTCCTTCAATTTGAGTATAATTTAGCCATACTTTGAAGGGATCGAAAAATTATTGCGAAATCATACATTAGACGGCCATTTTGAATTTTACGAGGCTCGAATCAGAAAAAAAAAACAATTTTTGCAATCTACTCTAAATTGCCTTTCATTTGAGTATAATAAAGCTATACTTCAGAAAGATCTAAAAATTAGCGAAAATTTCTGTTTTCCTGACCCCCCATACACGGCCCCTGGGGGTCAGGATGAAAAACACGGAATATATGTGAAATAGATAGATGTTGCGAATATACTACCAAAATTTCAAACAATAATATTAATTACTTTGGTTTAGAATGAAAAATTTATGATTTTTGCGAAAAAGTCCCGTCATTTTTAAAGTGGCGGCCATCTTGAAAAAAATTTTTTTTGCGTAAAACTATTAACCAATATACATCTTTCCACAAAATATGAAGAAAATCCATCAACTAGTATTTGAGTTATCTTCCGGACGGACGGACGGACTGACTGACGGACTGACAGACTGACGGACTGACGGACTGACGGACTGACGGACGGAGGGCTTCACTATATCCCTACCGAACTTCGTTCGTTGGGATAATAATACCATGGCATATAACTGCATATACAACAAAGTATTAATATGATGATATGTCAACCCCTACAATTTTTATGGATGCACCGGGTCAAAGAAAAAGTTGCTATAACAATATCATCAATCTAATACTTCCTCAAAATAATCCGGATCCTTTCTTTTTCTGACTTTGGCATAACTTTTATTTTTTGCCATTACTCTTTTTATACAGTTGTTGTTTTAGCAAAAACATTTCAAACAAGGCATTAATGTACAAAATGTCACCACCAGCCATTTGTTACAGACACCAACCACCAAACACTGTAGCAAAACACCAACAAACTAAACACCAACAAACGAACATCGTCCACAAAAAGTTGGACACTATAACAGTATGTTACCACTGACATAATAAAAACTAAAACTACTGTATTACTGTAAAAAAACAAGGATGACAAACTCCAAAAATTAAAAACTTCAAATAACTAACCTTTCAACCTACAGTATTTCTCCATTTGCCATTTAAAATCCAAACTGCAATCCATGTTCTAAACCATCCCTTTATTATAATCCTGACCAAAAAGGAAACAAATAATGGTATAATTGTATCCTATGTCTCCTAATTATTATCAAATTACTGTTCAGAGACAGTTTTAATCGTAACCATTCTTTAAATACTCCTCTCGTATTGAAATCCACCCGAGGCTATCAGCTTTCAGGTTGCTCTTAGCTCTACTTCAATGCATCTAGAGGGCCGATTAATACTCGATAAATCAATGTGAACATTTGTGCCAGCTTGCTACTAACGACTACTGTCTGCCTGTCCAGTCTATATAATAGCACTTCAGGAAGGAATGCTGAAGAGTCTTTGTCCATTGACCCCTAACCCCCACCCCCTCAGAAACTCTTCATCCTGACCCCCATCCCCGATCGCCAATTCTATGACAAATATTTTGTTCCTCGTCATGCACTTTCAACAATTTATTACATCATAATGTTCAATAATTTCTACTTCATTTTCTTCAAAAGATTTAATCAAGAAATCACAATGAATTGTTTTAAAATATATTTTGAAAGTACATTTTCTAATAAAGCACTCCAGAGGGATTACTCCATGGATTACTGGATTAGGCCCAATACAGGTGTCAATTATCCTAACATAGTAATCTCCCTGTTTCATCATGATCTATTACTCACTGACCGCTCGGTCACACCTCTTCAGTATGTCTTTATTGTGTTTTATTGTGTCCAGTTCCGATTACTATTTCTCAATTAGGTCTACCTTATGTAAAAATTCACCATTTTCAACAGCAACTGAAAATCAGATTTTCCAAAATACTAAAAATCACAAAATTGCAAAAATACATGATTTGATCAAATTTGTTTATTTTACTTTAAAATATAAAAAATAGTTTTCTTCAGATTTTCTACGAACCAAATGTAAAATCCATATGTAATAAACTACTATGTTGATATGCCTATGTCAAAATATCTAGGTGACTGTAAATGTATTGAAAATTGAAACTGTATGAAATAAAGATATTCCATCACATTAAGTTGATTATAAAAAAACATTAATCCAGAAAACCACACACAATTAAATCATCACCTATCAATATAAACACATTCCAATTCCGGATTCCAATAAAACACAAAAGATGGATTAGACTTGATTGCTAAGTAATCACATTCTACATTCAAGGCATAATGCAGAGCGCTGACATGAAAGCAGCTCATGCTTGAGTTTTTTAATCTCTTTGATGTTTTTAATATATCTGGACAGATTAATAGATCAGTCAACAATGGGTGCTTCTGCCATAAATGATATCACACAATGCATGCTCCTGCCATAAATGATTATCACACAATGAATGCTCCTACCATTAATGATTATCACACAAAGCATGCTTCCGTGATTTTCTTTATGAATACACAAATACTTGTAAAAAAGTTCGCTAATTTTTATTTTAACCAATCAAAGTAATCAAATAAGTATAGGGATACGTTCAGCCTCGTTTTTTTCCACATTCATAAGTTTTAAAATTGCTATGGTCTTGAACTTGTTTGGCTTACTCTTTTGAAAAGTATGTATCCAGTAGCCAGTTTGTCCAAAAGCTTTTCTTTCTATCTCGTGGACAAGGTTTCATATGCCCCTCAGCACAAGATGTCAACACAATAGCATGTTCTTGTTCAGGTGCGATAAAAACGAAAAGTGTGAATGGAGAAGATTGTAGGTGACCCGTAATGATGTCATCATGGTATACCATCATTGCAGTATCCATCAGAGTTTATCCATTGTAAGAAAGGAGATATAATGAGTATGACAATGGAACAACATTTTCACAATAGGACCATGCAGAGTGAGAAATGACACCCTAACTGGATCAGCTGGATTCTACTGATATGTGATCTTACTAATGGATAATATGAAAGCAGTATGACAAATAAATATTTTATCTAATCATAATTATAAATAACTTTTGACCCATCAAAAAGGACCACAGGTGATGACAATAAATCATCCTTCAAGATCGGGTGATCCTAATTCTGCAGAATATGGAATATGCAAAGAAGTGAAATAACCTGGACAAAGGATGACCATATTTGCTTTCCAGTGTGATTTTATGAAACTTCATACTTAATATACCTTGGAAATCATTGATAGATGAAACCTTCAAGACAAAATGTAACAATACTAGTAACAATATCACATATTTTAGGATAAACAAATATTTAAAACACTGATTTTACGGAAAAAATCTATAAATAGAATCAATATGAGCCACAGAACTTTTAGATTAATTTCAAATATGTCCATGGAGTCATTATTTATTGTCTCAAATTTAGCTTTCTCTTTTATATTTCTTTACAAAGCAAAGTGTCCCATTGTATATATAGCTTCAGGCCGTCACATGTCTCTAAGGGATGGTATCAAAATGTCAACAGGTGTAGAAAAATCATTGAAGCTTTTGCTGTGTCATGGTTGACCCCTACCCTCCTCATGTGATAAAAGTTTAAAATATTGATTTATAGACTATTAATAATGAATTCCTGAGATCAAAAATCAATATTTTATAAAATCATCTTTACCCCCCCCCCCTCCCCATTGAATGAACAAATGTTGATATTTGGACATCATTTGCAAACTGCATAAAACTTCTACAGAAAATTACCAGAGGTGAGCTTTAAAACTTGGCTAACCCCCTATTAATTGAAAAACCCATTAAAGTCAAGAGAGTAAAGTCAGTGGTGCAGAACTTTTGAATGTCTTATTGCCTGTATTCACATTTCAAAGGTTAATATGGGCTTACAATAGCACTAACCTTTCTTAGTGACCCCCCTCCCCCCTCCTCCCCGATCTTATTTCAATTGTTATTTGAGCCTTTCTCTGGCAGAAATCACCTGTACATTAATAGACCTCGTAATACCATATTATTGATTTTCTCTATTAGAGAATTGCAAATTATATAAAAGATACAATTTCAATTTTAAATTAGCAACTAATTAAGTTAATAGATATCACTATTCATATTTGAGTTTAAACTGACCTTTTACAGTTAGTTACCTGTAACCTTAATATGAAATGAAATTCTGTTTATGCAACACCTGCCTATCTAAACACTAATTGGAAAAATTGGTATCAAAGGTGTTCTTCTTATACAGGTTTTGTGATCCTATCCAGAGCACCTTAATTTCACAGAATTTAAAGTATTTATTCATATTGCTTTTGTGTCTGAAAATAACAATTTACATTAGATCACACTGAAAAAGATGGCACTACAAAACTTTTTGGTCACATTTGCTCCGATTTTGCTCCTGATACTGGACCAAAGAAATCACTTTTCAAATTAATATCAAGTATTGATTTAATGATTTACAAATACAAATGTATGAAAAGTAAATTAAACATAGTTATTAAATATTTTAAATATCAGTGTCAGATTGATTGATGTTGCTTGATTAGAAAAACAATAAATCAAATATATTGTAAACATCTACGCTGAGAAGTTCACAAACATGCAACTCTGATCACCCACCCATTCATCAGCACAAGTAAATAAAAAGATTCCTTAATGTGTTTACTATGGCTATAATCTCACAAACTAGCAATTAAGATTTAGCAACAACTTACATGGACTGTGGAAAGATTTTAGACTTAATAGATTTAAATAACATTTTTACCCTCTTTATTCTACAAATCAACTTCTTATAAAATTTGTGTCTAAAATCCTCATTATGTACGATGTCAATTTCTATATTATCCGTCATAGAAAGAAGATGAAATGGGCATCGGTATGACCTGAATAAATATAATTCTAAAACATGAATCGAAGCACAACTTCTGAATTCATAGAAATGTACAATTTAAGATTCTTTAATAAATCACCAATTTCAAGATTTATTTATTATAGGCAACATATGCCATTTTCTTGAGTGACAATAAAGCATGGCTTCCCTCCAGATGTATTCATTAAATGTTCCTTAAACACTTCATAGTTATACACTCTATTCACTTTCCAACACATAACAGGCCTAATGATCTCTTAAAACAATTAATGAATAATGAATACCTGTATAAGAATGGGTGCTCAGAATTCAAAGTATTACAATGAGAAGAAAATAACAATAGAGAAATAACTATGCAAATATTGTTGATTCATTAGGAAGACCTTGTGCAATTTTGCAATTTTGAACATATTAGTCAGCATTTAAGCATTCTTGTTCAAACTCAAGTAATACATTCTTCTTGGCCTACATTAATCCTTTCATGCACATGTTAATTAATGTAAATACTTGATTGACATATAAATACTTGATTGACATGTAAATACTTTGATTGACATATAAATACTTATAAAACAAAAAAATGGCAAACACATGTGTTTGGTCACAAGAAGATAAGCAAATCTTTGTCAATATTCCTATTTCAACGGACTGACATGATTCTTGAAAATATTTCAGATTTCAATTTCTGTTTTTTATTTAGCATTGTCAATCTAATGATGACATGTTAACTGACAACTGAATTTTACAAACTGTATATATATATATAACATTTATTGACATTTTGTATCAGAACTAAAACTAAAACTACTTCTACATCTTAAGTTTTATATGCACATTTAAAGCATAGTATAAGAGAGGCAGAATATTTTAAAGTGTGATGTACACATCTGCTGACTATTCTAAATTGTTAAATGGGCAATATGAAAAATGTGCAAATATAGTGTGTAAATGCCTTTCATGGTGTAACTAAGACAATACATTAAATTATAAAGAGTTAACAGAAATTGACAAATAAAATGAACGTACCTATATTTTCTTTGATCCTCTCCAGCCTCAATGTGCAGAGTCAAGAATGGAAGTTGACAATATATTTTCACAAGAATTGGGTTATCAAATCTGAAAAGTAAATATTTCCGACTTATTAAGTTTTAACAAAAATTATTAAGTAAAATGTTTACTTCTAAGATTTTCAACAACCCTTCATATCCCCTTTGGCTAACAAGTCAAAACTTGGAATAAACAACAAATGAAAAGTTTTCCATTTTATTAAATTTGATGAAATTCCAAATACATTTAGTTAATAATAAAATGTTCCAACTTTTGATAACATTTATAATGGAAAGTGTCGACTTCTAAGACTTCCAACTTCCCTCCTTCCCCTTTGGCTAACAAGTCAAAACTCAGAATAAACAACAAACTGAATGATTTATGTTTTCAAAATATATCTAAATGTTCCAAAGTATTTTACCACTTGAATTAGTCTGATTACATTGATGTGCGAATTCCATGAAATTGTTACAAAAATAAATGCCAATAATGAGTTTCAAATCTCAGGGAGTTTAACTTTGTAGATTATCCCATGAAAAGCCAGAGTAAATGGTGATAATCTTCTTGCATCAGTTCGGCTTCTTTTGATGGTTTTATTTCTTGTCCAATAAGTAAAATTATTTCCACTTTGTGGTCACTAAGAAGTTAAATAAGACCTATATCTTCAAAAGATATTGTTTATTATTGAAAAATTTCAGAAGTTTTGCTACTTTAAGATTTATCCTTTCAGAAGTAACCACATCAGTGATTCAAATAAAATGGTTGTCAACTTCAATTATTAAGAAATTATCAAACTGATGAAAATAACAGAATTATCCACAATCACCAGAATGATATTTCAATATTCAGATTTGAATGAGCTTTAAAATTAGAATATGTAAGTATGTATGTTTAACTGGATTTAGGCTTAGGTATACAGGGGGAGAATAAATCACAGAGAACTTTTTTTAATTTCACTAGTCTCAAAAAGCGAACCACCAGATGTTCTAACGTCAAGAAGATGCCCTGAGAGTTGGAACCCCCACCACTGAGGCACATGAAAACAAGTTAAATTAATTGAATAAAATCTCTTCAAACAAATGCGAGTGTTTAATCATGTAGATAGATCCCTCTGATTGACATTGACATTGTTCAAGATGGTTTCAACAGAAAACATTAAGATCAAAGGGAAACATTCTAACTCTTACCACTATTTATAAACTTTTTCAAAATTCCAGAATTAACACAAAAATAGAGCAATACCAAAATCGGGAAAATTAAAGATCACCATTCTTATATTAAATTCAATGTTACAAGGAAAATCAAAACCCGTCATTATGATTTTTTTATTGAAACTACAAAGAATGGTCAGGGATTGTTGGACCATCAATCTGCCACTTTACAGATGTCATTCAGACCCTTGATGGTACTATCAGACTCAAATGTCAGTTATTGTCTATAAAAAATAATGTATGTTTTGTGAAATGACTTGAAGAATTTCAATTTATATCTATTAGTTATGATTAATTTTCCTCAGGCATGAAAAAGAAACATTAAATATAATCTAGATCTTTTGAATGTGAACGTAAAAATTAACTTCATTTTCATTCTCTAAAAAGAATCTTCCTTTGATGTTTATATATCTACATTTGTAAAATGGTACAATTAATCTCATAATCATATATATTTTATCTTTTGAGTTCTTTCCTCCACAATACCTAAAACAGTTGTAAACTTGAAGAGCTCTTGGCCTGATTTCCTAATACTGTAAAAACAAAGCATTAACATGACAAAATGTCACCACTCAGTTGCTCGCAATATTATGAGTTCAATCTTAATTCAGATTTGAATTTCTGAGAACTTGTAGATGATTTTGAAAAAAGTTGCTCAATTTGAAGCAAGTTGAAAAAAGACCTTTTTGACCTTGAGAAGGTCATTGATGCTCAAATCTCAAATCTGAAGTCAGATTAATTTAAAGTCAGTCTAAACAGTATTTGTTAAGTTATTGAAGGTTACATAAGCCAACCACAAACCGCAGTCACAAAAAATAAACAACCATAACAATATGTCATCACTTTTGGTGGTGACATAATACTATTTCTCATGTTACAACTGCACGTACGATAATATAGTAAATGGTACCATCAAGGAAACTTCTAATTAAACGAAGTTGACACAGTCATGTTGAATGTTTGTAATTTCTTCCTTCTTTTCCTTTTCTATTATTTGTTTGCTTGTTTGTTTGTTTTTTGCTTGTTTGTTTGTTTACTTGATGAGGCAATATGATGCTACTAATGAAGTTGTGAAACCAAAGTCCATTTTTGTAATTTGCACAGACATATAGTGTGCAAACACAAGATTAATATTTACAACTAATTTTGCTAAAAAAATAACAACTTACCTCCAACCTCTAAAACTATGAAATCTGCCTAGGCACTGGCAGTCCTTAAATCAAATCTCAAATCTCGTCCAAATCCTCTTAATTATGTTATAACTTAATGAACAATTGTTATTTGATCAATAAAAAAAGTTTTTCAACGTTTGTATAATCCATTGTAACATTTTTGCACAATTACCAGAATTATGTCACTTTTAAACAACTGCTAGTAAAAGCTATTTTCTCACATTCATCTGGTGTCAGCTCTTTGACTGATTTGATATGATTCTCATATTTAACGCAAATTTCAATTTATGGATTGCCCTTAAAAATAATTCATAAATTATTTAAAAGTTCACACAATCATAAAACAAGTTGCAAGTTGAGTTTGTAAATAATATGATAACTTCTATACATTCTTTTCAAGAATCATTTATGAACTATGAATTACTATTTTGAACTTGAATGGAAGTATATTAGATATAAATGTAAATATAATTTAAATGTTATGTTAAATAATTCATAAGGGTTAGTAGAGGCCATGCAGTAAATGAAATCATCAAATATTCATTCAAGCTTAGCACAATAGATGGAAATAGGTAGCGATCTGAGGCACTTCGATCAGGGTGTTGTCGGGACAATTTCTCTTGTGACTTAGGTTATGTATTTAGGTCTATCTCAACAGATTTTACTGGTCTTATGCGCCGCAAATGGTGCGAAAGATGTTAAAATTGCATTTTCAACCCTAAAATTCAGATTTCTTGGGGGTACATTATTATTTAGCTATAAAACAAAAACTAAACAACCAATGCTTCTTTCTTTTGGTGTTTCTGTTAAGAGTAATCATACTTGAAATGCATATGTAAAAAAATTGAAGAATTTTAACTTTATTTAAAAACAGCAACATTTTTTCACCCTAAAATCATAGAATTTAGGGGGGTTGAGAGACATTGATTGGAATTGATTTTTTAATTTCTCAATCAATCTCAGTTTAATATTAATGGAACTTTCCTAAAAGTAGCACCAACATGTCCCCAACACATTACCATAAAGAAAAAACTCAAACTCTAACATGTTTTTTGCCTATATGGGTCAATTTACCTCTCCCCTCTTTCCCTTTTTAGAAGGGCTTGGCCATATTGGCATGTTCATCTAAAAATAAATACTTCATGTTCATATCCATCCTCCGATCACAGGGCTTCAAAATCCAGAACATATTCTTTCTTTTTACCCCCAGCAATAAGCAGTTACCATTTCCCCGATTAAGAACTCGCAATCTGATTGGCTGTCGCAACACTGCGACAGAAATCATATAAGTCATTGTGCATAATTAGATCACGTGATTCAGTTAAATCAGGCGCGTCCAAATTGGTTATCGCAGGGGGAAGAAGGAGGTACAGATTCTGGACACCTGCTTAGGAGGATGGTTCATATCATGTTATCATTTTTATGTCACCAACAAAAAGTGGTGACATATTGTTATGGTCTCTGTTCTTTTTTGACAGTGGTCAGTGGTCGGCGGTTTGTGGTTGGAGCTTGGCAATTGGTGTCTGTAACAAATTCTTACAATTTCAAATAATTAACAAATACTGTATAGACTGACTTCAATTGTTTTCAAAATCATCTACGTGTTTTCAGATCTTCAAATCTGACTTTATATTTAAGATTTGACCTTCAATGACCTTTTCAAGGTCAGAAAAAGTCTTTTTTCAACTTGCTTCAAATTAACCATTTTTTCAAAATCATCTATAAGTTATCAGAAGTTCAAATCTGACTTAAGGTTTGAGATTTGACCTTCAATGACCTTCTTAAGATTTAAGAATATAGATTTGATCATTAAATGACATTCTAAAGGTCAAAATAGATTTGACCTTTAGTGACCTCCTCAAGGTCAAAAAGGTATTTTTATCTTGTTTCAACTAGGTGGTGACATTTTGTCATGTTAATGCCTTGTTTTACGTGTAGCTAGTGAATGTCTTTGAAATGACATAAGCCTAATACAATGGGACCTGGGTTAGTGAACACCTTTCTCTAGTGAACACCTGTGTAAAATGAACACCCTATTTTCAGCACATACCTTGATTCCAATACAAAATGTCTCTCTGTATTGAAATCTTTTTTGTGGCTCTATAGATGTTCACTGTACACAGGTTTTACTTTATACAAAACACCTTTATATTTAACTTTAATTAATAAACTGATTATCTAATTGCAATTATAAATTGCTATCTATTATTTGCAGGGAACATGTAGCAAAACAATAAGGGAGAATAGTAAGCTATTCAAGGCTTATTACTGTCTGATGTTCTATTATTAACTAATTTGATTGATTTGATGGCTTTCTCAATCCATTCCAAATTGAGGACAATGATCATTTATACTGCATATCATCTGGAATGCCAACACCCTCTAATTTAGCAGATGATCTCTTAAATGCAGAATCCAAGGGCACACAAGCCTTTAAGCAATTTATTCAAGACCAATTTGTGCAGAAGGGAAAAGGTTTTCATGACCCCATAAAAGAATGAAACTGAAAACATCTGAATTCAATGCTGGAGTCAAAAAGGTGAAAAGCTCTGGAAACAAACTGATTGAGATTAGAGCTGAGCGCAATACATTTGGCCAGTTAGTCATGTTATCAGAGCAGCATAGTATCAGTCTAAAGCGAATATTGGAATATCCCCTGAGTCCAATACCCTGGGCTCTTGGAACA